CAATCTCTCTCGCCTCCAGCAGACCTCGATAACCCAGACCTCTGCCAGCCCCTGCATGCTGGCAGAGTACAGCGCAGGTCCCAGCTATGGCCGGCACTCCGAAGGTCTGGCTATGCCTGTCTCCTTCCACGCTGAGCCGTCACCACTTCCGGTTCACGCGTAGCGCAGCAGCGATGTACTCGGTGCCAAAAGCCCTGAACCGATGTTCCCAGTCTATCTATGGACTACAACTCGCCTAGACTCGACCTAGACCGGACTGACTGACCGACCGGTACCGTTTCTGTTTCGGCCTCTCGGCCTCTACCGGACGCGGCTATAGGCGTCTATCAGAATAGGCCGTTAGGACCTGTCTATCCTAGAGGTAGCCCGGGCCTGCTATGCGCAGTTAGGGTAGCTGTAGGGAATCCGGTTAGTACCGGACCTGTATTTTCCCGAATTTGCAGATGTGTCCCTCACGAATTTCCCTCATAGGTAGGTCTCTCGGTTAGCCCTCAGCCAAACAAAATTGTGAATCTGTCCTACCTATAGTACAGCCTCGACAGAGAACGRCTACAGGCGACCAGAAAACAGCAAGTCATTGCAGATCTACCCTCCCCCGGAGCGAGGACCTCAAAGCTAGGGGCGTAGGCGTGCAGAACGCTGAAGGGATACCCCCTTCTGCGCTGCCTCATATTTGAGGATGACAGACTTGGCTGTCTTCAGGAGTTCCGTGCGAGTAAACCAGCGATCCTCAGTGTGTCGCTGGTACAAGAACTTCACAAGATACTCCTTATCTGGGCCTGCACCTGACTCGTCCTCCACAGATTCGACCTCATACCCTTTGCCAGGGATAGGGGGACCGAACTGACGAGACCTGTCTGGAAATGCATCAGCTGGCGTGAATGGCGACAACTTAGATGCATGAAAGACAGGGTAGGTTTGTAGATGCAAAGGGACATCCACTATATAGGATGGTCCAAATGGATCAGCTCCCACTGTATCTAAGACCTGCCATGGACCCATTTATCGTGGCAACAGCTTAGGCGATATGTCCTCCTCTCACGACAACTCAGAACTGAGTACCCACACCCAGTCACCTGTGCGAATAGTAGAAGGACGCCTGTGCTTATTAGCCTGCTGAATCATAACCTTTTGGGCTTTCAATAGGTTAGCACGGGCGCGCTCTATGTCCATACAGTAAAGCCTGGTGAACTCTGCAGTTCCAGGTGTTAGTGTAGGGGTAGCCTTGTCGATGATGTCATCGAGAGGCTGCCGTGGTTCACGACCCCAGTGTAACCGGTAGGGTGTGAAGCCAATAGAGGAGTGTACAAAATTGTTATACACAAGTTGTGCACGACCCAGATGGAGATCCCAGTCCTGCTGATCTGGACTGATCACAGGACGCAGCAACTGGAAAATAATCTGGTTCATCACTTCAACGTGACCATTGGCTTCAGGATGACGACCAGATGTCATATCCAGACGAGAATAAAGGTAATCCCTGCAATAGGATTGCCATTCATTGCTGCAAAACCGGGGATCTCTGTCACTGACAATAGAGGTGGGTGGTCCATGATATGTAACCCACCTGTCAACAAATGCCGCCTGAACGGCTGGCACACGAGCCTCAGTTGGTAAGGGGATGAACTTTGCATATTTGGAGAACCGATTCACACATACCATGACCTGACGCATACCTTGTCGTGTAGTCCTACCCAAGTCAGTGAAGTCAATCGACACTGACTATGCAGGGGCATCAGGGATAGGTAGTGGTTTGAGTAGGCCAAGGGGAGGTCGACGTACCACCTTATTCCTTTGGCATAACTCACAGGTTTCCACATAGTGCAGCATGTCACTCCTCATCTCCTTTCAGAAGAAGCGCTGCGACAGGGCTGCATAAGATTTGAGGGCCCCAAAGTGACCACGAGCATCATGACACTCTGATATCAGCAGTATCCTCAGCTTGCGGTCCTGGGGAATGCACAGGCGCTCCTCACCTCTGCTGCATGTGTAAAACAGACCTGAAACCAAAGTATATCCTGGTTTAGAGGCAGGATCATCCTGGAGATTCCTCACAATAGGCCCAAAGATCTCATCCTGGGACAGCAATTGGGCAATAGTTTGACGTGTCCTCTCTCCAAATGAGTGAGTGAAGAAGATCAGGAAAAGAGCGTCAAGCCTACGAGAAAGGGCATCTGCTACTCGATTGTAGCACCCCTTCTTGTGTCTCAGTTCAAAGTCAAACATGTCAATGAACTGAATATAGCGAGCAAGCTTGTCATTCAGCTCTCCCTGAGACTTCATCCACTGCAGGGTGGAGTGATCTGAAAAGATCTTGAAGTGCCTGCCCAGGAGAAAGTGTTTCCAATGCTTGAGCGCTGACACAAGAGCATACAACTCTTTCTCATAGGTATAGTCCTGCAACTTCTTAGTTTTGATCTTCTTGCTCATGTATTCGATAGGCTGCAGACCATTCCCATCATCCTGCTGAAGTACCACCCCTACACCATACTGACTAGCATCAGTAGTAAGCACAAAAGGCAGGGTAGGGTCAGGTAACTTCAAGACAGGGGCACGAATCAAGGCCTCCTTGAGACGTGTAAAGGCCTCCTGACATTCTGATGTCCAAAGAAAGGAAGTGTCTTTCTTTGTGAGATCAGTCAAGGGTGTTGCAATTGCAGAGAAGTTCTTGATGAACTTCCTGTAGTAGGATGCAAGCCCCAAGAAAGACCGGACATCACAAATGTTAGCAGGTCGCGGCCAGTCCTGAACTGCAGCAACTTTCGTTGCTTCAGGAGCCAACCCCTCTCCAGAGATGACGTGACCCAGATAGACTACAGAGGGAACCCCAAAAGAGGATTTCTCCCTGTTAATCTTATACTGGTTATCACGTAAGGCCTGGAGGACCAGAGCCAAATGTTGTACATGCTCCTGGACAGAACGACTGAATACCAAGATATCATCAAGGTAGACAACTGCGAACTTGTTCAGGTAAGGCCTCAGTATGCGATGCATCTCTGTTTGGAAGGTGCCTGGCGCATTGCAAAGACCGAATGGCATGACCAGGTACTCATAAGTACCATACCTGGTTTTGAAGGTTGTCTTGTGGACATTGTCGTCAGCCATCTCAATCTGGTGATAGCCAGATTTGAGATCGATCTTGCTAAAGATAGTACAACCCTGCACCATCTCCAACAGATCATCAATGCGAGGAAGAGGCTCTGTAGACTTCCTCGTGGTTTTGTTGAGACCACGATAGTCCACGCACATCCTGAACACACCATTCCCCTTTGGAACAAAGAGGACTGGTGCCCCAAACTCAGATGTGTTGGGCCTGATCCAGCCCTTGTTGGTCAGGGTCTCTAATTGTTTCCTGAGCTCTTCAAGTTCAGCAGGAGACATCCTGTAGACTTGGCTCTTGGGGGGGACCGAACCAGGCAGGATCTCAATCTTATGTTTGGTCTGCCTATGGGCAAGTCCAGTAGGCTCCTCCATAAGATCTGAGAAGATGTCTACAAACTGCTGAATCTGAGAGGGACATAGAGCATTCTCCATGTCAGTCTGTTTGACAAAAGCCACGAACAGACGGGCATGGTCAGTCTGGCGTGAGAATCGCAGAAATCTGCGAGCACTCATACAATAATAGTTGCTGGCCGGATGGTACTCGTCAACGAGCATGCAAGGGCGATATACCCCATGCCGATCAGGCAGCTCAACCCTAGGGATCCGCCAGTCGATCCTAGGATTGGTGGCACCAAGCCACTGCATAGAGAAGACAAGGTCAAAGGGGACGTTAGGAAACACATAGAAGTTCAGGCGGTGCCTGACTTCTCCCTGCTTGTCAAAGGATACGGGTAGGTCCTTGACCGCAGTAGTAATCCTGACTGTGGAGGAGTCTCCAATGCATACCTCCAAAGGTTGTCGCAATTTCACCAACCTCTGGTCCAAGTGCAGCTTGCTGACTACCTTGGGAGAGATGAAGTTGCGAGTAGCCCCACAGTCTAAGAGCCCTTTGATCTTGGCTCCCAGGATGAAGGGTCGAAGCAGGATGAGTTCAGACTTAAGAACCAGCGAGAGAATGTGAAGATTCACCTCCATCAGAAAGTGAATCAGCACTGGTGGAAGGAGCTGCTGCTTCCACCTCTCTCTGCTCTAGTTTTTTTAACTAGATCCGCCTGTAGATCTGTGAGGCATACCGGGACAGTCCTTCAGAAAATGGTCCGCCTCGCATCTCAGGCAGGCACCCTTGTCCTTTCTCTTCCTCCAGACCCCCTCCTGGATCCTGAGTGCATGCCAAGGGAAGGTGAAAGGGTCAAGGGGGTCAGCTGGCCAACGGACGTCTCGTGGTAATGGTACTCTCTGGGCACCGGGGGAAGATGCACGTCCCTTTCCTTTTCCCTGTCGACTGGTTGATGCTTTCTGGGTTGGGGCCTTACCCTTTGTCAGGCCCATCAAAGCATCAGCCAGGGCAAGAACAGCTGAATCTGCAGCAGATGATGATGCAGTCCCAAGTGGAGGGCTCCCACCCTGAGATGCTGCGTCACTATCTGAAACAGAAACTGCAGCAGCAAGCAGGGCACCCTTCCTCCTCCTTCGCCCTTTGGAGGAGGGTCCCTTCCTTCCTTCAGAAGGTGCTTCCTGGACATGGAGTTTGGACTCCAAATCCAGGGTTGCTTTGCCAAAGGACCGCCAGTCCTTGTGGCCCTGAGAGAAAAGAGCAAGCTGGAATTGCTCAGGCGCTGCCCTTAGGAAATGAATGAGCAGATCCTGCTCACTCATCTCCAACCCAGGAGTCGATGTCAGACTCTCAAAGGTGGAGTACAGTTTGGACAAGGAGCCATCAAACTTTTTCTGGCCCAGGTGCATAATTTTATTTGCTGCCTTCCTGGCCTGCTCCTTGTCTGCAAACCGGTCCTGCAGGGCCTGCAGAAATCCAGCCACCCCCGACCTCTGCGCCCAATCAGCCACCTCCATACCTTGCTTGCTGGAGGTGGAGGTGCACCATTTCAGTGCTGATCGCTCCAAGCGAGCAGGGATGGTTGACACCTTCACGTCCTCATCACATTTGAACCCACTCAGGTAGGTTCTCTACGCAGCAACCCAGTCTGCCACATCCACCTTTGGATCCTCGCCTGAGAACATAGGTGGCGGTGTCAGCTTAGGCCGCTGAAACTCAAATGGTGATGAAGGTTGTGAAGTTGTTGTTGATGTGGGTGTAGGGGGTGGAGATGTGTGTCTGGAGCGTGGGGGTGATGCCGGTTTCCCTTGAGAAGGTCCAGGAGAAGGAGGAGCTGGAGGAGTGGAAGGGACCTTCAGATGTGTAAAGATCAGATCCAGCTTGGTAGAAATGTCATCCAACTTTTTTGAAAAAGTTGAGTGGTTGTTCTCCAAACTGGTAATTCGGTCATCCCAGTTAGTAAAATAGGAACGGTTGATATCATCCTGCAGGAGGATGAATTCAGCCATGTCCTTATTTTACTGACTTGAACTCCCACTGGTCCTGACCTTTTCTACATCTGCAACCAGGAGCTTTCTTCTGGCTTCCTTCTGAGCTGCTTCCTCCTACTTCTTCAGCTCAGCCTTTAGAGTCTCAATGCTTTGGCCTGTTGGCGGAGTTTCTCCTCCTGGGCCTGCAGTTCAGCCTCTGAAGGGTCGAGAAGAACAGGTGTCTCAGGCTGTACTGTAATCTTTGGCTGTACCTGAGGCTTCTCTTCAGAAGTCTCAGCCTTTTGAGACACTTCGGCCTTCCCAACATCAACCATTTTCCACAATTCAGATAAATAAGATCAAACAACAATCAGAGATCAAGCAGGAGGTAACAGGAATTGAGTGTTTTCTGCAGTACTAGCTCAATTGCTGTCACCTGCCTGGAGAGAGGAGACTGGTTAGTCTGAGCAAGTGAGTGCTCAGTCTCAGTAGACCGCTTGAGGGTCAGGGTCAGTTCAGAGTCCACTCAGGCAAAAACCAATTTCACGATTTTTCCATCCCTGCCCGGACACAACAATTGCTTGCGATAATTGCAAATCCTGCCTCAATAATTGACAGGACGCACGCAGTCCTGGACTAATTAGTATTGATTAGTAATTAGACAGAGTGACTAATTAGGATTCGACAGGTGTCCACTGATGACCAAGATGCAGCGATTTACATGATACCCTATTTTTAGACTTACCCTACAGACCTCGACACTGTATGACCTTGGATGCCATACCTTAGGATATCAAATCTGGATATGCGATTTCAGACACTGATAGAGTACTGAATTGCGATTTACCAGGGACTGACAGAACTAAATTCTGACGGACATAATCAAAGTTATGACTGACCCTAGTCTAGCCTAGCTTTAGCTATGTCAACGCAAAATTCAAATTTGCATTATCACTGACAACCAACCCCTGAATTCACCAATTCACTGCACAGTGTCAATCGCAATACTGTAAAGCAGTCCCAGATGAAATATGAGCCAGAGGGAAGGTCAAACAGGGTTAGTAGAAGTCAATGAAGACAGATAGGGGAAGTTGGATATGGCTGTCCCACAGTCTGAATTTCGATTTTCAACTGTCACCTTGCAGACAGACCAAATTTCGCTATTCTAAAAATAGCCCCAGAATCGCCACACAGGATGGAGTAATGAACAAACTTCAGGATCAACTTTGAAGAAGATGCATGAAACCCTGGCTATGGCTAACTGGTCAACCCCATCTCGCCAGTTTCACCTCCTGACAGTATCCAGTGTTCCCACGTACCAAATTGCCCGAAACTTGGTGATCCAGTAGATTACCCTTAGGCGCTTCACCCCCAACTGACAGAATCAATGAATGAAGACTCCAAGGCCAATAACTGACAAAGTCAGTGCAGCGCCACATCACCCTGTACTGCACTGCTTGGAAATTGGGGATCCTGACCCAATTCCGCAATCGCCACTTCCTGGGATCACTTCCTTGGCAATCGCCAACCTCCAGGTGAGTCGCCAGGCTATATTTAGCCTCTCATAGCCTCCCAGGCCTCTGAGTATCAATCGCCAACCGCTCCTGCACAACCCCAGTCAGGAGTGAGTTACTCTCTGCCCAATTGTTCTCGCCACAGACTCACAACCACCACCCTTACTGACAACAACCCTGAAGATGATGAATCGCCATGAAACTCAACTCCAGTATCTCGCCAGATGATGATGGATGCTCCAACTCATCAATCCCTCCAGAGCCTGGATCCAATTGCTCCGATACCAACTGTTATGATTCTGGTTGTTCGTTGCCTGAAGGCCAACACTCACTCACATAGACTTCCGGATATGCCCATACATACACAGAAGGAAGGGGAGAAGATAGGAGTATCACACCGCACAGGGAGAGATAAACACAGCGGAAGACTTGACCGTGCGATATGATAGGGTACACTGAAAGTGCAATTCACTCCACTCAATCCTCACARCCAGTCATAGAGAAAAGCCGAGCAGATCACATCCAGGAAACAATGAAACGATGATAGTCCAAACACAGTATTACACTTGTTTATTAAACTTAGAGTCTCGAATTGTCAGGATAACTTCAGTACTACAGTGCGCTGCTCAGAAATGAGCAGCGCTTCACTCCCCAACCCTGATTAGCACCCGTAACACCCCCTGAGTCCCTGAAACATCAAGCGCCACCCAGATACAGCCTCCTGAGGGCAGCGCCACCCTGAAACAGGCCTCTGAGGCCAAGCGCCACTCAGAGGATGAAGAAGAAGACCAGCGCCACAGTATCTGATGATGACGAAGTGTCGGAAGACTTCCCGGGTGGAAGTCTGCAGCAGCGCCACCAAACCCTGACAAGATGACCTCTGAGAAGAAGCAGCTGCAGCTATGGCTGCAGCGCAAACCCCCTGGGACCCCACTCCGGAGGAGGGTCCAGCAGGGCACCAATCTCTCTCGCCTCCAGCAGACCTCGATAACCCAGACCTCTG